AATGGACGACTGAATTCATTTTTTAAATATATTAGCCTTAAAATTTCGGGTCGGTTCGGTTCGGGTTCGGTTCGGGTTGGGTTCGGGTCGGGTTGAAGCTCTAACCCGAAAGTTTTCAACCCGACCCGACCCGAAGTTTCGGGTTGGGTTCGGGTTGGCTCATAACCCGACCCGAACCGACCCGTTCGGAGCACTACCTGTCATAGGTCAATTTGTCATAACGACTTATGCCCTTTTTTCATATACAGTAGTAAAAATCATAGTACCTTTTTTTCATTAACATTTAATATGACCGATATGACTATGACCAAAAGTCACATTATTATATATATGGTGGCTCTCGATATAGCAGATCATTGTTATAATATTCGGGATTTTGATATTATAGAACTTTTGATATAACGGAGCCAAGGACTAGAATCATGGTTTCTGTTATATCGAGAACCACTGTGTTAGAAAAAAATTTTATGACGTAGGTCATCGGCAAACACTGATATCGAAACGTCATTCCTAAAGTTAAGATATTATCATCATGACATTTTAATGCAACCCAAAAAATCTGTTCTCCGAATGAATCAACTTCAGATCTTGCCGTATTGACCCGATTCTATATAAAACTGTTTTTCAAGCTATTATTAACATTTTCTTAATATTAATGAATAATTATACAAGCAATTATAGAAAATATATAATTATACCAACTTTTTATTTAATTAAAATAAATCTTTTAAGATCAAAACACTATTTAATATCTTACCAACATTACATTATCTTAATGTACTATATTCAAACAGCTTTCAGCACAATAACTACATTACTTTCCAAACATCAAAACACCTATTATACTAGTTCCTTTGTTTAATCTGATAAATTTTACTACATTATTATAAAAATAATTTCTGAAATCATTAATTATAACTCATTATTAGACATTACACAATCATAATTACAATAATTATGATTTACTTATTTGTGCCAGTGATACAAAACTAAAAAAGGAATTGATCATCATTTGATATACACATATAAATAAAGTAAATATGATTTATTAAAACTATGAATTTTAATTGGCTAAATTATATTTTATAATGTTAATGACAAGTTATCTTGCTTAAGTAAATTAATGCATATTATTTTTAACTCAATATAACTTATAATGTTCTATTATTTAAAAGTTAATGGTTTAATGTAAAGATCAAACTTGGTAAAAAAATATACAGTAATAGATTAATTGGAAGTTTTAATAATTTCTGAATCATTTTGACAAAATAACAATATTAAACAGTAAATTATCATATAAACTTTGGAAACTAGTTTTTATTTGAATAATTCTGTAATTATAGTATATGGCATAAAGTTACTAAATAAATTAGATAATGAACTCGAATGAATTTAATCAAGATTCTGCATTCAGACATAACATTTATATTATTTTGTACATATGTATATATGTACAATAATTGTTTTTAAAGGTAGAATGTATTTAATATATATAGAAAATAGTAATCAATATAACAGAATCATATGAATGTGTATAAAGAGTTTTAAGATTAGCAACTTCAAATATTTGCACAAAATAAAATATTTGTAGATGTGAACATATACACATGAAACTGCATTGGCTTATCTTATCACAGAAAATAAAATTAAACTTCTATAAGCAAATTTTTATAAAATTTTCAAATGTCATGATTTAATTGAGATGTTTTATTAAGAAATGTTTCATTAAGTTATAGGAACTAAAATCAAATAAATAAATATAGTATTATTTCAATATTAAGATGTTTATTTAGTAATATTTAATTTATGCCAAAATATTAAACTTATTAAACAGTATAAATAGCTTCTTAATAGCTTGTATAGCCTATAATACAAGACTACTTATAATAAATATATGTAAAAAATTATATTTTAACCAATTTTATTTAAATAATATACAATTATTTTAGTAAAGTTTTTCACATTTGCTCCAGCTGCATATGTATATCAGTATACACAAATTACCAAAAAGTGTGTAATCATGAATGAGAAACATATGAATCAAACAAATAATATAATAAATAGTCTAATCTCTTTATAATTACACTGTCGGAATTATAGTGACTGTTTTTGAAAATGTGCTTATAAAGAGTTTGTGCTTATCCATATAGAGGTTTTTTTATTTTTACATAATATGCTTATATGAATAGTGATTATAGAGAAGTCAGTTATACTGTAATTCACAGGTTTAAAACAAAGCCAAAATTATTTCTATAGATGCGCTTCTATACCAATTTAGAAAACAAATTATACTTAAATAAAACCTTAACAAATTAATATTATGTGATCAATTAGCTTGCAAAATAAATTAATTATACAAAAAAAAATCAGAATAAAAAAAAAATAAAAAATAAAAGGATATAAAGATATATCATTATAAATAATCTTCATGATTCATTGTATCTACTCTACATCTTTAAATAATGAAAAATTTTTCAGAGTTCAATACTGAAGACTATGCTGATAATCAAAAAGCATCTCTTGAAGAATTATTTGATCATTTGAATCATTTTATTAAGTATCTTCAATATGATAATATTAATATTGATCAATTTTTACCTGCTGGTGCAACTTTAATTAAGCATGATAAAATTCTTCTTACAGTAAATCTATAGAAGGCATTGAATATAGTATTCTACTGAATACTGATTTTCATAAATAGGTACAAGAATTCAGAAAATCAACAGGAGCACCCCATATAAAACATCAAATATTTTATAATGAGGGAAATGTAAGTTTGCGAGTAATCTACAAATGTCATCATACTAGGACCTACCAAAGCATAGCAGATAAATATTAATTAATAAAAGAACCATGACCTAATTAAAAATCAAGCAAAAAATGTGATTGTAAATCATGCATTATTGTTGTTAATACAAATACACCTAATGGAAAACAAATGATTATTAAATATACTCCCCATACTAATCACATTCCTGACTTTGATAATAACATTGGCATATTAAAACTTTCTAAAAAGATTTATAATTGGATTACTAAATGTATTCAAGATAGTCTTAATATCAAGGGAATTAATTGACTGTTCCAAAAGCAAGCTTAGAATATATCAAAAGTCTGGGAAAATAGAAATAAAACAAATGCCATTATTATAAGAGATAACTTTGTAACTTATAATAATATTTACAACATCTGAAAAGAAGCTATTGTTAATAATCAGATGAAACATAAATCCAAAGCGCAAAGTATAAAATTGTAGAAAATTGAGCTCAATCAAAAAAATAACCTTATCTGTGCAATTTCAAAGTCAGAAGTTAAATTCCTTTTATTATTTATTTTTATTTATTTTATTTTATTGTGCTTATTTTATTTATTTTATTTTATTCTTTTTTTTGTATTTTAATTTACTTTTTATCTTACTTTATTTTTTTTTATTTTATTTAATGTTTTATTTTTATTTTTATTTTTTTTAACTTTTTTTTTCTTTTAATTTTAGGAAATGGTAATAATGATAAGAGAAAACTCTTTGGATTTACAGTTCTGATTTGCAAAGAAATTATTTGTAACATTTCTGTTATTCTTCTCAATGCAACTCATGGGACGAATAAACATAAAGATTTATTATATATCTTGCTTTCTCCTGACCCAAAACCAGAAAAAGTATTATGCTAACTTACCTTATTTCATCCTGCATAAACTTTGAATCTGTACAGTATTGGTTTTATAACTTTTATGCTCAATTTCCTAACTGGCAAGGTCTTACTGCATTTTTAGTTGATTGCGATCTGGCATAAATCAAAGCCCTTCATGTAGTTTTTCCGGAAAGTAGAATCTTGCTTTGTTGATAACATGTTATGAAAACCTGAAAGAAAAATCTTGCCAAGATTAATAAAGAAAAAACCCAGTTATTAGGACATAAACTCACATATGATGAGAAAAGATCATTAAAAAATGAACTCTTTGAAGATTTAAAGTATCTAATGAACATTAATAATATTAATATCATTGATAAAGTTTTAGTAACATTTTTTGAAAAATGAAAAAATTTAGTAATATTTATAGCATATTTCAAACAACAGTAGCTGAATGAACCAGATGAATACAGAAATCATAATGGAATTAACAAAATCATGTGGATAAAAGCTTACCATACAAGAATTTCATGCACTTATATGGATATGACAAATATGCTTGAATCTTAGTATAAGTGTTTAAAGTATAACAATTTTGAAGGCAAAGTAAATAGATGCATTAATGTTTTAATTTAGCAACTATATGTTATAATAAACAGTGATACTTAGCAACAATGGCACCTTGCTGATGTTTGAGCAGAATGTATGATGTTTAAAGAAAGAGAAGTTCACAGAAGGCAAATAAAGTTACAAAAGTTAGTAAACAGATGTGTCAATATAAAACATGCAAATTTCTTATAATAAAATTTTATAAGTTTGGACAAAAATAGCTTAACAAAATCAAATTCGATAAAAATTTTTTTTAGAAACTTGCAGAATTAATTTTTATTAATAAGTTTTTGTTAAATCATTTTTTTTTAAAGTTTTAAAAAATAAAAATTGTTTGTTTAGTTTTTATTAACTCAATCCCAAATACAGTTTTAGAAAACATAATTGATAGGAATTATTGGACTGTAGTTTTGGAAACAATACTAGACATAAGATATTTAGTAGAAAAAAATTTTGAACATAGTCAGTTAGAAATAAATTTTTCTTGCATATTTACAGTGTTATAGGTGAAAGCCTTCTTAATTTTCACACTATAATGACGACACAGCACAGGGAATCCCTTACGGGTATATGCG